GTAAACATAAGCTTAGGCCAAGTTACTCGCGAAAAGTAAAAATTCCATAATAATCAATTACTCTTGACGTTGCATACGAGATGAGTTTCAACAAAAAATCCCTAATCTAACAATGAAAATAGTGCTATGAAAGATCTCTCAAATAATTCCTACTAAATACTAAGCTTTTAGCGGAGCTTGGCAAGATTTTGCATGAATCAAATACAACCACATGCAAGGATCAACGAAGGAGGTAAGAGAGAGAGAGAGAGAAAGAGTTCACCCTTTGCTAAGATTCAACCTTCTCGCAAGCTTGGACAGCAGTTGGTGGTGTCTTTGACGGCTCAGAAGCAACAAATCCACGCTCGAATCTTTGGACAGCGAGTATCCAACCTGGGACAGTGGTTCCGGACAGTTTTGGGCAGCAACGGGTGGATTTTCGGAGAGCAGGACAGTAATTTCGCTAGTTGAAATTCCCTGGACAGCAGCCTGGCGATGTACAGAAAATCTGGACAACAACCAATGGAGGACACGAAGCTCAGGTGTTATCGTTGTAGTTGCCGACACAGAGAGGACAGCAAATTGAAGCCCGGAGAGGCTCTGAACATCAGTTTTCTGGTTCCTTGCAATCTAGACAGCAGTTCCCTGTTCCGTGCAAATCTGGACAGCCATGGAGTTGGCTGGAATTCTTGGACAGCACACAAGTTTTGTCCAGAGATCTGGGTAGTACATTGAGTGGTGTTGATTTTAGAGTTTTTTTTTTTTCCCTGGATGATAGGAAGTTAGTTGAACATCATGGGAGAACTTCGATAAACAGCAGCAGGAGCAACCTGGGATTAATTTCCTTCTTAGACGGTGAACTGAGTAATTCCAGGATCTCAATTGGAAAGGGGAAGGGGGCGGCAGCCCTTAATGGGATTGATTGGAGAATTACTTGAGGGAATAATTAGGGAATTTTTTTCTAATTCATTAATTAACCCTCCAAAAGAAGAGGAAGGCTTTAAATAGCCAAATATATGAAGGGAAATAACAAAGACACTATTGCCCCTAGGGCATACATAAGACAAAACCCTCAAGTGAGGGTAGAAAGGGAAAAAGAACAATAACAAATCAAATACATAAAATAGATCAAAATAAATAGGCACGATCGTAGTCGTAGATCTCTAATGTCCTCATCACACAATCTTCAACATTGCCTCTTAAATTAGATGATTTTATCATTCCATATTTGCTTGTAAAATTTTTAAAATGTAGTGCCATTTGGTAAATCTATCGACAAGTTGATTTCATGTAGGTATTCATAGACTCTTTTAAGGAGTACATATGAAAAAATAATGTAATTCACATAAAATAAAAAAATGGGTGGTCGACAACTAGGTGATGGGAGAGGAGCACGTGGATCGCAATCCAATGATTGAGAGGAAAATATCCAATGACTAAGCACTTCAATCCATTTGCTCAATAAATCATATCATGATTGGCTGCACCTGTAACCAATGGCTCCTTTAAGGTCAAAATTTGGGCCGATGCATGAAGGAGGTGGAGTAATGGATCTCACAGTTGGGGACTTCACAATCTTCATGTGTTGATTACTTATCAGTGCTTTTGTGTAGATATCTATATGCATGTATTGATATCTATATATGATATATGCATGCATGGGTATTTGTATGTATATATATTTCGTGTGTGTGAGAATTTTTTTTTCGCTATTTGTCGAATTATTATATTTTAGTAACAGATCTAGTGGTAGTATTGTGACTTTGCGTGATCAAGTCATTAATAAAAGTACACATTTTAGATATCTTGGGTCTATTATTTGTAGTGATGGTGAAATAGATAGGGATATTATTAGTAGAATTCAAGTTGGATGGTTGAAGTGGAGGAATGCATCGGGCTTGTTGTGTGATACAAAAGTCTCCCTCAAATAGTCAAACTTAAGAGAAAATTCTATAAGATGGTGGTGAGACCTGCAATGCTTTATTGTGTAGAATGTTGGCCATTAAAAGAGAAGCGTAATATTAAGTTAAGTGTTGCAGAGATGAGGATGTTTCGGTTGATGAGTGACTTTACTTTTAGAAACAAGATTCAAAATGAACATATATGTGAAAAGGTTGAAGAGCTCCAGTGGAAGATAAGATTAGAGAGAGACGCCTTTGATGGTTTTGTCACATAAAATGGCAGCCTTCTGATCACCCGGTTAGGCAGTTAGGAAAGTAGATGTATTAGATTTGACTTATGTTAATAAATGTAGAGGTAGACCTAAAAAGACTTGGTTAGAAAATATTAGAAATGACCTTTCTTTATTAGATTTATATGAGAATTCGACTCTTAACAGGACACAATGGAGAAAAAAGATCCATGTAACTGACCCCACGTAGTAGAATATAAAGGCCTGATATTGTTGTTGTTGTTTGTCAAACTTATTATTCTACGGTCATGTGTTATTGTCACTATCAGTGCATCCAACTTGGCTTCCTTTTATTTTATTTCATTTTTAAAAATATTATGCTGTCTTAGTTTCCTGTTTTAGTTGAAAAAAATGTAGCGTCACTTTCTTGTGAAATCTTGCAGGCTGCTATCTACCATTTGGGGCAAGCTTTAAACGGGATTTTAGTGCAACTGCCGCAAGCCAGTTGCCTGCTATAACAGATCCTGACATAAAAGTTGCTTTCAAGGATCTAATGGCTCTGAATTGGAATGAGGTCCCTGATTCCCTTGTCAATGAAACAACAAAGGCGTTGTCTAAAACTACTGATGATGTGTCAGGGGAGGAGGCTTTGGCAAATGCCTTCCGTGCAGCTGAAGCTTCTGTGGAGTTTGGTAGCACTTTAGTATCTCTCAGAATGGCACTTGATGATCTTGGTGGATTGACTGGCGAGGTCTGCTCCTTTTTCTTCCTTCACCTTGTTCGTTGCTCCTACTTGCTTTGTACTGTGGATAGAAGTTGTGTTATTAAGTGACATATCTATTCTGATTGGATTTATTTACAGAATGTTGGGAACTTGCCAGATGGCTTAGATGATGCCATTGAAGCGGCATATAGGCGTTATAAGACTTATCTTGATTCCTTTGGCCCTGATGAGGTCTACCTACGAAAAAAAGTTGAAATTGAGCTTGGAACCAAAATGATACACATAAAGATGAGATGCAGTGGTATTGGTTCTGAGTGGGGCAAGGTAATTCAATTTATGCATATTTGGTAGTTTTTTAAGCTTTTACTGTTAGGAATCTCATTATTTTAGAAGTTATCTTCAAGATATGCTAATCGGCTTTTGCAATTTTCATTTTCTGACCCTGACTGTCATAACTTTTGTGTTAATACTGGCTTGTAGTGAACATTAGATATAGTAAACATTAGGACTACATGCTACTCTGAATATCATGTTTCATGGTCTATTTAAGCTTTTTGTAGCTAAAGCTAATCAATCACTTTCATCAATTCTTCAAACCAAGCAGTTAGTTCATCTATTTCAGCAATTTCCATGATATTTATTGATTTAGAAAAAGCATATGATAAA